CAGACATCGCAGGATTCCTGATCCTTATCCCTCAATATCGTTCGTTTGGGTGCACTCGTTTCGGCCTCCATGGCCAGCCAAGGCCGGCTGCGAGTCAGCTGATAATCGAGTTGTCTTAACTCTGGGTATAAAGGGACTCTAGCTAGAACAAGTAGACAGTGCGTAAATCTATCGGCAGATATCGTTCACTCAAAGTTCTCCTTCAATGCCGACACATAGGCAACAAAACATACCGTGGAGCGCGAATAGTTATCTCATTCGAAAAACAGACACTATAAACAAGGAAATGTACACTCGACAAATTTTAAGATAATTATTGTTGATTGATACTTTATTTTCCTAAATTAGGCGAAGTACTAACCCTAACTGCTAGTGTAAGCGTCAGAATTAATCATTCAACTTAATGCGTAAACTCACACAAACTATGAACGGTCTGGGACTAGTCTGTAATTTTAGCAGTTGTTTGGTATGTAAATCTTTCAAACCATACATTTTCTTTCGAAACGAGGAGACGTAACTACCCTGTGAGGTAAAGTTTAAGGTGATTCGATGGACGCCATATTTTGTGTCAGAACAGCATGCGATATATCGCATCAATTGCTTCAATTTTTTCAGCTACTCGTCATTTTTTTCCTATTTTGAGATCGCAATTCTGTTGTCAGGAGACTAAAGCACTCACTTACCAATTTTAACAAAGAAATTCAACGTAATAAAGGCGTGGTTTTTTTTAGAGAGAAAACATCGCATTCGATACTGATATCGAAACTGCACTCGAATGCGATATTTTCTCTCTAAAAAAACCACGCCTTTATTACGTTTAAATTCTTAGTTAAAATTGGTGAGTGCTCTAGTCTCTAGACAACAGAATTGCGATCTCAACATTGGAGAAAATGACGAGTAACTGAAAAAATGGAACCAATTGATGCGATATATCGTCACCTTCCAGGCAAAGTATCACAAGCGCCATGCGACGTTTAAAAATTTCCGCCGCCATTTTATTTCTTTACTGAGAAATTGTTGGTTGAATCTGTTTGGAAATTTCACTAAATTTTATCGGCAGCACAAAGAAAATTCAGTGAACTTTTCAGACAGCTTCGTTGAACAATTTCTCTGTAAAAAAATAAAATGGCGGCGGAAATTTTTGAACGTCGCATGGCGCTTGTGATACTTTGCCTGGAAGGTGACGATATCGCATGCCATTCTGACACAAAATATGACGTCCATCGAATTACCTTAATTTTTCAGACCAAAATCATCAATTGTAAGGGAAGTTGGCAACTTTGCGAGAGCTATGACTGTAAGCGAGTTGGCGGAAAGTGCTGATTCAGGGTCGAATAGGGCTTGCTCGTCGAGAGCTCGGATGTTTCAGAATCGGATCTCCTGGCTCTGTCTAGTTGAACAATCAAATCAGCCTTGCAATAGAATGATAATTACTTATGCATGAGAGGTATCAGTCTGTCATCTACATATACTCAAACTCTTGAAACAGTCGCTGACCAGGGTGGAAATTTTTCATGATCAAATAAATGTTGACATTGCACGTAACAAGGACGAAATTGAATGAAATTGATGACGCTGAAATTCATGAAAAGTATTTAAATTTGCTAATGTAGACTATGAAATTCAACATTGAAGGAAGATTAAAGAATGTGTGTGGATGTGGATGTGTTGTTGGTTTGATGGTTAGTAATTCAGTTTACATGAAGGTATCTTAATTTATGGCTGTCGAGCATACGTTTACTTTTCGAACTCCACAAATGCAATCATTGATTGTGATTATCTATGTAGTTGGTGGTTTTTATGGTGAAATGATAAGAAATAAATTTAAAAATTGTATAAAAAATAATTTGTGGTAATCATTACAAATGCGATAATGAAGCACAATAGGCGTCAAGAGGCGTTGAACGAACGAGACTGGTTTTTCTGAAGGCTAAGGACTGCTTTACTGCTGATCCTCTATCTCATAAGGGCTGTAGACTGCATACGTGTCAATGCCTATTCCACATTTTCCTTTCTCGACCAAGTAGTGACCCTGTAAAAGACGTCAGTATCCAAGTCAAGTCATACGAGCAATTTTTGAGAGGCAAACCACGCAAGTTTACATACTTTTTTCTTCTGGATACAACTTTAGGGGAGCAGATATTTTTTCTTATGACGTGGGACTACTACTCTCTAATTCTGAGGGATCCTTTTGGGGCAGACGGTCACCCCAGGATGCTAACATATGTCTTGATGCCCTTTCTGAATCCCCCTGCCCCTAACC